AGTCGACATCCTCTTCCTAGTGGTACATAACTCCTTCAAGAACTTAGCATACCTCGGAACTTGCTTGATTGCATCTAACAAAGGTATGTTAACTTGCACTTTCCGAAATGTTTCAAGGATGTCCTTTTCGGCTTCTTCTTTCTTCATTTGCCTGAACCTACTAGGAAAAGGAACATTTGAAGGGAAAACATTAGTAGGAACTGAATTTAACACATTTTTACCTTTATTGGCCGAATTGGGCAGATTTGGGACCATAGGGACTTGCGGCAAAGGTGGAATCACCTTTGCCGTGGGCAACCTTGTTTCTTCCTCTTCCATTTGCAAAATTTCATCCTCGTTATGACCTGTTTTTGATGTAGGACCTGCCCCAACTTCCTTACCACTTCTTAGGGTGATTGATTTGGCTGATTCGAAACCTCCCTTCGGATTTGGAATGGTGGAACTAGGGAGTTGTCCGGGATCTCGAAACTTCCCTACAAACTCGGCAATCTGCCCAATTTGTTTCTCAAGTTGATCCACCCTCTTATCTTGGTTTTGCATAGCCTTCGCTTGATCTTCCTGCCCATTAGACAACTTAGTTAGTATCTTAAGAAGTGCATCATTGTCAAGAGACGTACCTGAGGCACTTGGGCCGGATTGGGCTTGATTTTGGGGTGGGTCGTAGGTTTTGGGAAAGAACCCCGGTGGTTGTTGCCTAAAGCCTCCTTGGTTCTGAGGTTGCTGGGAATCCCTCCACTTGAAATTTGGGTGGTCTCGCCATCCTGGATTATATGTGTTGGAGTATGGATTATGTCTTGACTGATTTTGGCTTTGAAACCCAATGGCATTCGCACTCTCCAATCCGCCATTCTCAATAAGTTGAGGACACGTGTCTGTAGGGTGTCCTTGCATGGAGCATACGCCACAAGAAGCTATGGGTTTGACTTTTGGACCTTCCACCACCTGAGAAATCAATGTAGTAAGGTTAGTCATTTGATTTTGAAGTTCGGTTATGGCACTTACCTCATTGACTTGGTGTTGCCGTGGGGGGTCTCTTTGTCCAACACCTTCGTATTGTTGTGCATTATGTGCTCGGTTGGCAATTAAAACTTTTGCAGCCCCCGGGGTTTTATCCACCAACGCACCTCCCGCCGAGGCATCAAGCATTTGGCGTTCCATGGGGAGGAGTCCTTCGTAGAAGTATTGAATGAGCAGCTCCTCCTTCATTTGATGCTGTGGACAAGAAGCAACAAGTGATTTAAAACGTTCATAATAAGAAGGAAACGATTCACCTTGATTTTGTTGGATACCACTAATCCGTTTCCTCAAGAGAATGATTCTTGAAGTTGGGAAAAACTTCTCCAAAAAAGCTCTTTTCATACTATCCCAAGATGTAACCGTTCCGGGTGCTAACTCGAAAAGCCAATCCTTTGCTTTTTCCAAAAGTGAGAACGGAAAAGCTTTCATCATCAGAATGTTCCCGTCAACATTTATGGGTGTCATGCTCGAACAAACAACCTCGAACTCCTTGAGATGCTTGTTGGGATCTTCCATGGAAAGCCCATGGTATTTCGGAATGTGGTGTAACAAACTTGACTTCAACTCGAATTCATCGGTCTTGCCTTGGGCGGCCGCGGGGTATTGAATGCATAATGGTGCGGCATTGGCCAATCCAGAAGCGGAAAGCTCCTTGATTGTTCGGTTTTCTGCTGCCATGTCTTCTTCACCCACTGTTATCTTGGGTTCTTCTTCAGATTCAGAAACGGACTCGGAGCTTTCGCTTAATTCGCTAGGTTCTGAGTTCTTTCTCTTTCGTCTTAATTCTCGCTCGAAATCGGCGTTAAAGCTTGAGATATGTTCACGAATCGGATGAGAACTCCGAGTCATAAACTAGTACCTAAAACAAGAAACAAAACAAGATTAAAAATCTGAAATAAAATAAAAACAAAAGGAAATGAAACAATCCAAGAGATTAGCAAAATTGCTAATCCCCGGCAACGGCGCCAAAATTTGATGCGAGAATTATATGCACACAAATTAAACCCTCTTTTTGTCAATTGTAGTGAAGTGTATAAGTAGGGATCGTTCTGGACCGGGGATTAGGAGGGATTGTTAATCACTTGGATTTGACTTAAAAACGTAAAAACACAATATAAAACAATATTTAATGCTCAAAGAATGCAAAACTAAAAATAAGAAAGATTAAGACTAAAACTTAAACAAAATAAGGGGGGATTGGATTTGGACGAATTTACTAAAATAAATACTTAGACACAAAACAAATTGTGAATATGGATTTGACGGAAATGAATGGATGGGAAGCTAGCTAAGGGGTTCTTCTCCACATATGTTATACTTGCATACAAGATTGATTCTCAGTTGGTCTTTCGATAAATTATGATACTCAACACTCCGGATTAATTAGGTCCGCTTAAATTAACCGTCAAGTTTTCCTTAAGTTAATGAATTGGATGGGTTTGCGCAACGCAATTCACAACATTCTCCAAAAGTCCTTTACGTGAATAGCACAATAAAGATACAATCAAAGATCATTAAGCATTATGAAAACTATAAGTGTTGACGAGGCATTCGTTACTATGATGAGCATGAAACTCGTGCCAAGAATATGTTTAACACGATTGTTTATAAGCAACCTCCACTACTTGTGAATATAAGTTCATAACGATTAGGTGAAATTCACTTATATTCTAGCGTCATATTTATGCATGAAAATTAAGCGCGCATTCTTAATAAACATTCATAAATAAGCTATCAATCAAACGGTTAAACAAATTGAATCCACAACTTATGAAATTCCAACGAAAGTTAATCAATTCATATTGCAAATATAAACATAGTTTCGAATCACCCCCTACCTAAAGGGGGTTTAGTTCCTCATAACCTTGAAATCAAAGAAACACCTAAACATTCCAACAACTCAAAGCTTGAATTGTATGAACGTTTAAGCACTCTTCTCTTCCATACATACAACACAAAGAGAATTAAAATGAAACTTTGAAATCAAAGAAACACCTAAACATTCCAACAACTCAAAGCTTGAATTGTATGAACGTTTAGGCACTCTTCTCTTCCTCGTTGTTGTAGCACAAGGTTTAAGGGATGTTGTTGGTGTATTGAATGGATTGGGGAATTTATGGAAATGGAAGAAATGGAGGAGAAATGGAAGGGAAAGCTTGCGGCCAAAGGGAGAGGAATGGATGATTTTGAAGAGTGTTGTGTTGTGAGTGAAAATGAGGAATGCCTTGAATGATGAGAATGCAAGGTATTTATAGGAGTAGTGGAGGGAACACATGGCTGCAATGCATGTGATAAAAGACTAGGAAAGTGGGTGGAAAGCTGAAATTTTCACAAGGGGGCCAAAGGGATCCCACGGCAAAGGAAAGAATTTGATGCATGTGGGCTGATTTGTTTGTTGAAGAAACATGTGTTTGGGAAGCTTTCTTGCTCATTTTCTGGATGCAATGATGAAAAGTTTAATAAATAATGCATGTAGGTGGCTGAAATGATGAAGAATGAGTGGTGGAAATGCAAGGGAAAGCTAGAAATACATGTGAAGATGTTGGAATTTCACAAGGTGAAGTGCACGGCAATGATGCTTGTTTGTTGATGAAAATGTGTTGGTTGCATGTTTGTGGATGAATGGGGTGTAAAGGTGGCTGCAAGGTTGAATGATTAAATGTGCATGTGGGTTGAAATGCAAGGTGAATGAATAATGAATGCATGTGTTGATGAAATTACATTTGGAAAGCTGAAATGTGGAGGGGATGCACGGCATGGATGTTTTGGTGTGTGAATGGTTATTGTTTTGCATGTGAAGTGTGTTGTGAATGTATGTGGGTTAAATGATTAAAGGGGGTGGAAGATGGATGAATGATGGATGAATGGAATGAAATGTGTATGCACGGTTTTGGTATGGAGAAAGGGGTGAATGTGCATGTGGGAGATGGAATGGAATGTATGTGAATTATGTTGGGAAAGCTATGAATGTGCATGGCACAAAGGTGTGGATGATTTATGAATGCATGTGGGTGAATGATTTGTGGTGCAATGATGAAGAGTGAATAAAGAATGCATGTAGGGTTAGCTAGGAAAGTGGGAATGTGGTTGAATGATTAAAGGGACATGCATGTGGCTTGTTTGATTGCTTGGTGAGATGATGCATGCTTGTAGTTTAGGGTGTTGAATATGGATTTGCATGGCATTTGAATTGATTGTGGGCTTTTGGAATTGGAAGGAAATGCATGGCAAAGGGCTTGGTTTAAGAGAGAATGGGCTAGGCCCTTTGTTTTATGTCCAAAATGAATACAAGGCCTTCAAATTCGTCCAACATTTTGGCTCCAATCATATGCCATCCATTCCAAGCCCAATTTTGCTCCAAAATGCTCCAAAATGCATCTTTTTTCTTCCTTAAGCCCTTAGAACCTGAAAACACACAAAAGAAGCATAAAGGACTAAAATAACTAGAGAAACATAACGTAAATGCACGAGAACAAGCCGTTTAAGTCGCATGAATATGCTCCTATCAATGATCGTAGCACTTGAGCGTATTTATTTACACCCAGTCCTGTCGTACATACCAGTTTAGGTGGTTCTAACTTGTGTGTAGGTATACTTATTAACTTATTGGCTAGCATGTTATTGAGCTATTGGCTAGCATGTTGATGAGCTATTAGCTAGCATGTTAATGAGCTATTGGCTAGCATGTTGATGAGCTATTGACTAGCATGTTATTGAGTTATTGGCTAACATGTTGATGAGCTATTGGCTAGCATGTCGATGAGCTATTGATTCAGTCGTACAGGTCACGTGAGGTGACTCCGGCTAGCATGTTGATGAACTATTAGTTCAACCGTACAGGCCACAATAGGTGGATCCGGCTGACATACCATTTCATATTGATTTATTTCACTTGGGTTACTTATTATTGTTGAGATATTTGACACGACATAGCTGTGAGACTGTTATTTTGGTTATGGTTTTGAGTTATAGTGTGACGACCCGTCCCGAAATAACATTTTCATATGTGTGAAGTGTGTTTAATTACCCTAAATCTTTTTTTTAAAGTTGGATGAAAGAGGCGTTTTCGGCCGTTTATGATGATTAAGAATGATTAAGTTTCACTGTGCACACACGGATTGCACAGGAAACCTTACCTTTTCTTTTTTTTCTTTTCCGTGATTTCCTCTCATCTGTCCCTCACTCTCTCTTTTTCCCTCAGCTCCTTCAAACTCACTCAACTCTCATCTCTCCCGTCAAGCTCAAGCTCTCATTCTCTTTCTCTCTCAAAAACCCACGGCCAAAACAACAAGTTCATCAAAACTTCACAGATCGACGAAACAAAAATCACCATCTTCTTCGTTTCGACGATACGAGTCCAACCATACCAATTTCAGGTAAGAACTATAACGTTTTCACGTCGAAAATACGAACTCCGGTTTAGGTACTATTCATCAACTTTTTATTGGTTGATTTTTAGGACTTTTCAAGCTTATAGGAAGCTTCTTGAGGTCCTAAGGAGGCTTGGAGTAGTTCGTTGGAAGTGTTTGGATGTAAGAACACGGAGAACGACAAGTTCAAAGTTTGGCCGGAGCTTTCAGGGCTTTTTCTGGTGAATCCACGCCGAGTTAGGGGTCAAGGTAGGTATGGATGTGTTCTTCTCGTCAATACCTTCATTTTGATATAAAGTACGTCGAAAATGGTTAAGAAATGAAGAAGTTATGACACTTTGAAGTTTACCCAGAAATTCCGGCAAAACACCCACATCCGGCGAAACCAGTCCGGCGACGCGAGGAAGAAGACGCGCGCGTGGGCAGCGCGTAGAAGTGGCGCGTGAGGGCGCGTGAGAGACCCAAATCAAGTTCTGAAAATTGTCACGTGTTCGTGACGTCGTGTAGATCACCGTGGTATATTCACATACCCAAATTGAGCAACGTATGAGAAAGTTATTGACGAATGTTTGTGTATGTGCGTTTAAATGATGTTTTATAATTATTTTTGTATAGGTGAAAATTATACAGACGAAGAACGTAACCAATCTAGGCGAGGAGGTTACGAACCGGCTACTTATCAGTGAGTGGGCAGTTATTTTTTAGTATATATATACGTATACTTGACGTATTTCCCAGAAAACGTATTTTAAAAGAAATACGATTTAAGTAACTTATCATGTATGCATCATATTTTAGAATGTGCATTACTATAATTATGTATATTGTTGCATGGTGCTGAGAAGGCCCAGGTAAGTTACATGTGAGTACATATGATTGAAATACATTTGAAATACGTATAAAATACGTATAATATACATTTGAAATACGTACGAAATACAGTTGATATACGTATGAAATGTGATTGAGATATGTTTGAGATACAATTGTGATACGATTGAGTTATGATTGAAGTATAATTGTGATATGATTGAGATGTGATTGGAATATGATGAATTATACGATTGAGATATGATGGAGATATGATGAATTATATGATTGAGATGTGATTGAAAGCTCATTTACTTGCACATGTATATAAGTGCTCCTGCCCAGAGATAGGGGCATAGCCTTCACGTGTATGTTCACCTCCCGCACCGCATGCTCGCCTTGGATCCAAGTTAGGTGCACAACCTGTCGTATAAACCACTTATGTGGGTTCGACTTGTAGGTGACCTGCGATTTATCGCACAGCTTCACGTGATTGTAGCACTAGAGCATACTATGTTGTATACGATGATGAATTGCAGACCATGTGAGGTGGTATTGATTGTGTGCAGGTTATACATATATATACATGATGAGATGAGATGATTATGAGCTATATATGCAGCCAAGGGCTGAGTTGATTATGATGATAGAGTATGAATTATGTTTATAGCCAAGCGTTGAATTGATTATATGTTATTCCCTCAGAATCACATAGAAATGTTGAGCATTCAGTTATGATATTTGGCATGACATACATTCATATCGTTCAGCATGATTTGATATATATTACGTATATGATTATATACTTTACTTCTGGGAAACTATACTTGTTTTACGGCGAGAGGTTAGTATATTCAAAAGAGAAAAGAAGGTTTTGAATACGTTCGTTTTGCTGACCCACTCAACTTTGTTTTGCGCCCCTCCAGGTTCTAGGTAGCGTATATCGGTGAGTCTCGAGGTGTCCAGCTGAAAGTTCTGACAAACCACCAGTCATGTAGGATCATCGTCGAGTGTTGTTAAATATGTACATCTTATGTTTGACTGCACTTAGACATTGTGCTCTGGTTGTGTAATCACACTTAAACTTTCATTAGAACCTATCGTATTTGGTTTTAATTAGTCGTACTTTTCTTATAAAATATCGCTTCCGCACAGTGCACATGGCTACGTCACGCTCACGTGACGGCCAGCATGCCTTGACTTAGGTCGGGGTGTGTCATATAGTCACGCCTGTTATTTTCTGGGAAATTATACAGGTGTTACAATGAGGGGTTACTACCTTTGGTAATGGAAATTGATTTGAAAATTTTTGTTTCGCTCACTCACATTTTCGATTTTTTCACCCCTCCAGGTTTTAGCAGCAGAGTTCGTATCAACGAGGATTTGTGGCACTTTTTAGTACATATGTCTTCTTATGATGGTATAATCATTATCTTACCTTACTATACTATACATATGCTCTGTATCACGCGTGAAATGGGTCAAGACCCGCTCATCGCGCACTCGTGTACTTAAGCACTTTTAGGTTTTAATTTATTCACATTTTATACACTATCACACTTTATGGTTTCGTCACCTTCTAGGTGTCGGCCAGCACAGCTCGTTTCGGGGTCCTAGTGGACATTCGGGGTCGGGGTGTGTCAGGAATACTGAAATTTTGGTTTGGGATTGGTCTTCAAATTCCCATCCAAAAAAATTTTGGTTTGGAATTCGAGATCCTATACCGAACCACCCCTGAGTGAAAGCCATCAAAATTAAAATGAATGTCTAAAACAATAATTTTAATGTGGCTATAACAATCTTTGTAGGTTGACGTTTGTTGGTTATACAACGACTTGTTCCTTGTAACTTGTAAGAGCAACCTGCCCATAATTTGGAACTACTTATAATTCATAGAGTAATCAAGTAAAAACCAATTACTTTAGGTTTATTGACATTAAAGATTTTATTGTTGCAGTCCTATTAGATTAGGAATGTGATTGTGTAAATCTTAGTGTATTTATGGATATCTTTGAATATTCCCTTTGGTAGTTAACATCCTATTAGAGTTGTAATTCTATTAGGGTAAGGAATTAACCTTCCCTACTACTATAAATAAAGTCACAATGGGGTGGAATAGAACACACTTCACAATTACACATCTCCCTCTTCTTTCTCTATGCCGCACCTCCTCTCTCTTTTTGGCCTCCATAATTGTTCAATAAATTATGTGATAACCCATCCCTAATTTTACGTTTTATAAATTTTAAAAGCATGAATTGACGAAAATGCCCTAGTGGCAAGGATTTTGACTTCCGTTGGCCATTGTTTAGAGAGATGTATGAGTCATTCTTTTGGAATATTTGCTTAGTAATCATTGCCACAAACGCATAGATGAAAGCCGTTTGTGAGTTTGGATTATAACGTTTAAAAGAACTTTATTAAATAAAGGGTCTACCACACGTTCTTTCAAGGGTGTGAATCCTTCGAAACAATGGGTCTACCACACATATGGGGAGAGTAGATGATTGGCTAGCTGCCACGGTCTTCGGCACATTTGTGAGTTGGGGCAATCTGCTCAACGTGCTTATGGTGTTCCATCCTTCTGGGATAAGGGTTCGACATTCGTATGGCATATCGATCTTTGCAGGTATATTTGCATCTAGTGTAAGTGATCTCGTCACTTTCGCTAGATTGGTAAAAGCATCTGACAAGTTAAAACCCTCTTGTGACAATTGTAGTAAAGATGCAAGTAGGGATCGTTCTAGACCGGGGATTAGGAGGGATTACTAAATCACTTGGACACTGACTCAAGAACGTAAAACAAACGTTAAAAAACACTAAACTAGACTCAAAGAATACAAAACACTTATAAACACAAATTAAGACACTTTCTAACTAAATGAGACACTAAGATAAAGGGGGATTGAGGTTTTGACGAAAATAAATTAAATGCACAAATTGTAATTTAAAGGCAGAATTTAAATATGAATGTGATGAAATATAGAATGAATGCTAGCTAGAAGGTTCTTCTCCACACATGTTACACTTGCATACAAAATGATTTTCAGTTGGTCTTTCGATAAATTATGAAACTCAACACCCCGGGTTAATTAGGTCCGCTTAAATTAACCGTCAAGTTTTCCTTAAGTTAATGAATTGGATGATTGCATGCGACAACCCAAAGCATTCCCCACAAGTTCCCTACATGAATTGCATAATAGAGAAACAAGCAAGAATCATTAAGCATCATGAAAACTATAAGTGTTGACGAGGCATTCGTTACTATGATTGCATGAAACTTATGCCAAGAATTCATTTAACGCGATTGTTTATAAGCAACCTCCACTACTTGTGAATATAAGTTCATAACTATTAGGTGAAACTCACTTATATTCTAGCGTCAAATTCATGCATGAACATTAAGCGTGCACTCTCAATAAACATACACAAACAAGTTATCAATCACACAGTTAAATGAATTGAATCAATCATTCATGAAATTCCAACCAAAAGTAATCAATTCATATTGCAAGCATAAACATGGTTTCGAATCACCCCCTAGCTAACTAGGGGGATTTAGCCTCTCATGTTCACAAAAAGAGAATTACAAATGAATTTAAACATAAAGCACAAAGGATTGATTACACCTAGAACGCCCAACGAATCCACGTGAATTGGTGCGCATCGAAGCTCCTCTTTCCTCTTCTCCTTGCTGCGGCAGTGAGGTTATGGGTGGTTTTTGGATATGTTTCTGGTTTGGGAATGGATTTATGGTGGTTTAATGGTGCGGCAAGGTTGTGGGGTGGTGTTGGAAGGTTTGTAATGGAGGGAGAATGGATGGTGGTGCTGTGGCAGGTGGAGGAAGGCTGCACAGTTTTGGGGAGAATGGTGCGGCTGATGGAGAAGATGAATGGGATTTGCGGCTGTTTGATTTTTAGGTTATGGAATGCACGGATTGAATGAATAATGGGAAAGAATAATGGAGTGAATGGCTTAATGGTTGAATAATGGGAGCATGATTATGGAATGCACGGCAGGTAAGAAAATAAAATGGGATGGTGGCTACGGAATCAATGGGATATGTGTTACGGCTGAAAAGGGAATTAGGGTGTATATTTAAATGGGGGGGGGGCACGGCTTTTTTTATGGAATTCCCTTTTTGTGTTGAATGATATGAATGATAAGTAAGGGAAATTAAGGTCAATTTGGAAGGTACGGCTGGGAGAAAAATAGGGTAAAATGGGTTTTAAGTGCATAAAATGAGACAAAACTACCCCCCCTTGCACGGCAAGGGAAGGGAATTGGGCTAAGGCCTTGGTCTTGTGTACTAAAGTGCCTACAAGGCCTTCGAAGTGGCTAGAAAATACGGACGTTTAAGTTTAGGAAAGGTTACCAAAACGGGCAACTTAGGGTTAACTTTCCTACTTCAAGTAGGAAACCTTGTTTGAGTAGGATTCCTCGTTTTGGTAAGAATTCATCGTTGGAGTAGGAATTCGTCGTTTCTTCAAATCTTCAACTCATTCATTCCTCTTTCGCTCCAAACGACTCCAATTTGCATCTTCTTGCACACTTTGGCCTTATAATCTGAAAATACACAAAAGTAGCCTTAAACACTAAAATAGCTAAGTAAACACAACATAAATGCATGAGAACAAGCTAATTAAGTCGCATGAATATGCTCCTATCAAATTCCCCCACACTTAACTTTTGCTAGTCCTCGAGCAAAACAAAACAACTAAACTAAACAAAACGAAACAAAACAAACAAAACATAACCTAAACCCTCCAACGTTTGCCTCAGGGATTTCCAATGAAACATGACATGTCAAAGATCATTACTCACATAGCTTTTAGTCTTCCTTCCCCTCAAGCACATACTTAATCATAGTCACCATTCACTAGTTCGCATTTAATCAAATAAAACACATTTTGAATGTAGTAACATGCCTTTGAGAATTCCCTCAATTCCTCACTAGTTATGCACTCAATTTTCACTCAGATTTTCTGACTACACACCCTACACTAGTTATATGTGAGAAGATTAATGTAAACATGAAAGACTAGTACTCACATATGTTATAACAGAGAAAGCAATTTCTGGAGTAATTAAACGTGTATAGATATGATCTCATGAATGGAATGCTACTACTTAGATGCGAGAACCAGTGACACCATATGCTCATACCAAATTCAAACTCCACAATTGAAATGCACAACACTCAAGATAGAAGTCAAGGGTTGTAACGGGGCTTGGGGTATTGGCTCACAAGGAAAGGTAGGGATACACAAAAGTTCTTTAAGCAATAGTAAGTAAAGTAATGAAATTAAGACCTAGAATTCCCTTAGAATGCAGAAATCAACTTTTAGACAAACAGGGGAGATTTAAACAACTCTTAGGGCCTAATTCATTATTTTGGGCCCTTACTTCAACAACCAATACTTTGGAACTCTTTTTCACTTCTTTTCAACTCTTTTTCACTTTTTTTCTTTTCTTTTCTTTTTTTTTTCTTTTTTTTTTTTTTTTTTTCTTTTTCTAACCGTGCCTATGGCACAAAAACTCACATCAATAATCTTTCCCCCACACTTCTTTCCTGCAACACATTAATCAAAGGGAATTCATTCATGCTTACTATGCTTCAAGAACAAGGGTACGGATGGTCCTAATCTAGGCTAGGCGAGGAGAATGTGGGTTAACAAAGAACATAGGCTACACAAGGCTCAACGGGGTTAAATCCTACAAAACAAATGAAAAGGCAAATATGGCAATTTGGCTATGGTGTTCACTACACAACTTCATCTTGAATATGTGTTATGCAAATCAATGACATGCTTTGAATGAAATGGGCATGAGTTCTAGCATTTGGAACTAAATGATGAAACGCCTTCTAAGTAGTAACCAAGCAATGAATAATGAGATCATGCAACGACTTAGAAAACAATGATGCATAGATTATAACTCTCCAAATAACGTTTAGGCTCAAGTCTCACAGGGATGTAGCGTTAGTTTGAGTTCATTCCTTCAAGCATGTTACAAAAACTAATTTTTTTCTTTGTGATTACATGTGAATTCGTAAACTATAACGACAACCAAGCATAAACCAAAGAGTATATCAAACGTCCATCCATGTTTGTAACGTT